TGGGGGGGGGGGGACAGTGTCTTTTACTCGAGGTGAGTGATATTGTATTAGAAAAGTGATTTAAATAAAGCAAACTCATTCTGGTTTACAAAATCATAGTACAGATTAATAGAGCTTTTCCTGCTAACTATAAACTTGGAGAAATTAGTATTCTGTAAATAATGGATGTCTATGGATATTTGTTATCTTGATTTATCGAACTTAAATAAAGAAACACTATTCAGGAGCACGTCGTACGGACTAGCTGTGGCCCTGTGTCTGTTATAGTTTATGGAGACCAAGAGAAGCCAGCACTGATAACATATCCAGATTTAGCTCTAAATCGTAAGTGAGTAGTTTGCGTTCTTGAGTTCCATATCTACCATTTTCAGTATTCTATTCATGTGCTTTGAGGTCGTTTATATATCATTGCTTGTTTGTTGATCTTTGTCCGCGGGCTTATGCTGTTTTGCTTTCAAACATGCATTTTGCAGATATGTCATGTTTCCAGGGATTATTCTTCTGTCCGGAAGCAGCTTCATTGCTGCTCCATAACTTTTGCATTTACCACATAAGTCCTCCGGGGCATGAGGTTCGTGAATTAGCCAGCCTGTTTTCTTTCATGCAATCTTACTGGGTTTTTGGCTCCGTTTATCAAGTTCTATTAGAAACAATTCAACTTATCTCTATTACTCACACCACAAGAGTTCTCGCAGTTGGGAGCTGCAGCAATTTGTCCAGAGGATCCTGCACCTTCAGTAGATGATTTGGCTGATCAGATAGTCGAGGTTCTTAACTATTTTGGGTAATTCTCGAGCTTTATTTACTCTATATATTTTACTCATGATTATACAAAGACTGAAAAAGCTGTTTCCTTTCTTTTAGTAACTTGTTTGAACTTTGAAACCTGTTTTCTGCTTTTTGTGAACCCTTTCTTGATTACTTCTGTATAAGCAATGAATCATCTGGGAAAAAAGAGGAAATTTTTTTAAGCTATATATTCTTGCTGTTTTCAGGCTGCGGTCAGTTATGTGTATGGGAGTAACGGCTGGTGCTTATATACTCACGTTATTCGCGGTAAGTTTCTTCCTGAAAAATGCCCATGGGATACTCCTCTTAGTGGTGCGATCATATATTTCACTAACATGTATTTTAAATTGCAGATAAAACATAGGGAGCGTGTTCTTGGTTTGATTCTTGTTTCCCCTCTGTGCAGAGCACCTTCTTGGAGTGAATGGTTTTATAATAAGGTACCATTTCGTATCTTTCTTTTACCTTTTTCTCAAGTGAGAAGAAAATATGCTCTATGGAATTTGAGATAATTGTTAATCCGCAGGTCATGTCGAATTTACTTTACTTCTATGGAATGTGTAGTCTGCTGAAAGACTTTTTACTATACCGTTACTTCAGCAAGGTACCTGTTGTGTCCTATTTTTTTCCTTCATGTCTATTGTTTTTTCTGACTGATCAGATTGAATAAGGAGGTTGCTTTAATTGTATCAGGAGGTCCGTGGCAGCGCAGAAGTTCCAGAATCAGATATAGCTCAAGCATGCAGAAGAGTAAGTGCCTTTTCTCTGGTAGTTATTTGCAGAAGTTCGTCAATTTGATTGTTCTTCTACTTTTTTGTTTGATTATTGGTTTGCAGATATTAATTTTTGTCAAACTCTTGTATTTGTTTTTAAAAAATATATTTTCAGTTGCTAGATGAGAGGCAGAGCATAAACATTTTACGGTTTCTTCAAGCTATTGACGGGTAGGAAGCTTGATCTCACTGCATATAAAATATAGATAGCAATGTGTTGCTTTCACAAAATTAGACCTCGCTAAGCTTGGTTTTGTGAATGAGCAGGAGACCCGATATCACACAAGGATTGAAAAAGCTACAATGTCGAACTCTCATCTTTGTCGGGGATAGTTCTCCTTTCCATTCCGATTCTCTCCACATGACCGCCAAGTTGGACAGAAGATTCAGTGCCTTAGTGGAGGTATGCTTTCAGTTTAATGTGTAATGACACACTATTTCCATGTAGTGGTATTCCTTTTCAGGTTAAAAGTTATATAGGATTAGGCCGGTTGGGCAAGAAGCTGTTTGTAGTATACCTGAATAAAATGATGTGTGCACGTTCATATAAGCTTCCGAAATATCCTGATTGAAGTTATGTGTACTTATTTAAATGCTCTACTATTTTAAATGTTGATGTATTAGTTGGCATTATGCATTGGATCTTGTGTAGAGTTGTAGATCCTATGTGTAATAGTACTTTGAGTGAATGCTCAATTAATATAGGGAATGGTGTTGTTCACGAAAGATATGGGGTTGTGATTGGATTTTGCAGGTACAGGATTGTGGATCAATGGTGACAGAAGAGCAGCCACATGCAATGCTGATACCAATGGAGTATTTCCTCATGGGATATGGACTCTACAGACCAAACCAGCTTAGTGGCAGCCCAAGGAGTCCTCTAACTCCATCTTGTATAGCTCCCGAGCTTCTCTCTCCAGAGAGCATGGGCTTAAAACTGAAACCTATCAAGACCCGGATTGAATCCAAGGTCCCGGGTACACGCCGATAATTCTGGATTCAGTTCAATTTAACTCGTGTATATTGAAAGTCCCTATAAGTTTAATTGTTCATGTTGGGTTTTTTGTTTTTGGGGCTTTTGCTGTAATTGGAAGGTGAGAAGGGTAGGTATATACATATATATGAGGTGTAGATAGGAAGTTGAAATTCTTTAATGGACATAGGGAGGGGATTCATTCATTTGTAGGCAGAGAAAGGACATTAATCATGTTCCCACTTTCAGTTGTATTTGTAAACCGGAAAAGAGACGTTTATTTATGAACATGACAAGTGGTGAATAAGACAGCAATTGAGCTGGTCGTTATTAATTATTGTAGATTTTAATTTCATAAATGTATATCCTCCCAACTCCACACTTCGGCCAAGGCTGAAAACATAAATTACTCCCACCATCTTCAGTTGACGTGGCAAAGTTTGAATGGAATGGTATTTAAGAAAGTAACGAAGACTTCGAAAATTGTTGTTTAAGTTTACAGGTGAGTATACTCCTTTTGAAAAGCCAAAATGTAAAAAAGACATAATGTAACTCTAATTTTAGGTTTAGTCAATTAAGGATTTGACTTGCGTATAGGATAATGGTGTTTGTGAGAGTCTCAGACGCAATTAGTGTGGATTTAAACTTCACCACTCGCGCTTTCTCTTCTATGTCTGTTGTCTCTCCCTTTAAATTAAAATAAATAAACAAAAATAATGCATTCATTATCGTGGATAAGTATCATGTTTGCTACGCTTATCAAATCTAGAAAAATATGGATTAAAAATGTGGCTCACTACTGCACATGCACAAAAAAATTGCCTTTTTTAAAAAAATGTGTATCACAATGAATTTCATGACAACAAGGTTTCTTAACCTTTTCTTATCATCGTGGATAGGCAGGACATGGCACGACTTAGTATTTATGAGGACATGACCCTTGACAGGGAATTGTGGATCGAGCATTAAAGTTGTAGGTTAGGGGGAAGTTTGTGAATATTACTACAGCGCACTAGAGGGAGACCAGCCATTTAAGAGTTAGACTTACGATGCTACTGATCAGCTACTGATGCAGGGCTGTATCTGTTGGATATTAGTATACCTTACATCTTTTTCGTATTTCCTATATTTCTTATATTGTTGTTATTTTGTTATTTTATGTTATGTATTTTATGTTATTTACTATGAGTCTATTGATAGTACTAATATATTGTCTCTTGTTGCTCTCTTGAGCCGAGAGTCTCCTGGAAATAGCCTCTCTGCCCCTCGGGTAGGGGTAAGGTCTGCGTGCATATTACCCTCTCCAGACCCCACTTGTGGGATTATACTAGGATGTTGTTGTTGTTGTTTTTAGTTACGACTCAATCATGCTTTATCTGTATGGCTGTATCTTACTACTAATGCATGACCCAAAAAAAAAAGGAGATTACTTTGTATAAGTTGTCAAATGAAAAGAACTTAAGAGGAACAATTTCAATTTACCAACAAAGAAAAAGATATGAATTGTCCGAACTTAGATAATCAGAACTAAAAAGAAAGTTGGAACATATTTGTGTTAATAAAGAAGTTCCTAGAATAACAAATGTGCATGGCTAATGGCTATTCACTCTTTTTAAGCCAGCTAGATGTCTATGAATTTTGTTTTGAGAACTTCCGGGTTGGCACGGAATCCAATTGCCAGATCTGGGCTAACCACAAACTTTATGGGCCATCCAATCGGCCCGATTTATAGAGTCCGCGTTGCTGCTGCTTCAGAACAACTCTGTGGTTCCCGGCAGCTTACAACCGCTTGTTTGATCGCCGGGAAATCACTGAACATGGCGGGGGCAAAGACCGTGATCATATTCGATTTTGATCGGACCCTGATTGATGATGACAGCGATAGATGGGTCGTGGAGAATATGGGTCTGACCTATTTGTTCAACCAGCTCCGTCCAACTTTACCTTGGAATGCTCTCATGGTTACTGCTTTTCCCTCACTCTAATCTCAATATTACTTTTGCGTTTTACTTTGATCGGTCATTTCTCTTTCCTTTGTTTATGTTTTGCTCCCCTCTTCATTGTTAATTTTGGTTTTTCTCTTTTATTTTGAACATAATGCGGACCTAATGATACGATACAATCAACCTAAACTTTGAAAAAGTAGCACTTTTTTTAAGCTTGGCCAAACAGGCTATATGTGGAAGAAAGCAGGATTTTGTTTTTCTATTTGGGTGAAGCAAGCTGTAAATAGTTAAGGTACATTAATGAGGTTTACATTTGGCTGGGTTGGTACTACTATTTTCTATTATAAGTATTAGTTTTAAACTGTGTAGTGTGACTGGTTTGTAGGATAGGATGATGGAGGAGCTACATTCTCAAGGTAAAACAGTTGAACAGATAGCTGAATGTTTGAAGCACGTTCCGTTGCATCCTCAGACAATTTCAGCAATAGAATCAGCTCACGCTCTTGGGTATGTATTTCTAAATTGTCGTCTTTTATTGTTGTATTGAAACTTCGATGACTTGTTGCTTTTGCTAATGCACGGTTGTGGTTATTTCAGATGTGACTTAAAAGTACTTAGCGATGCCAATCAGTTTTACATCGAGACTATATTGAAACATCACGGATTATACAGATGTTTCTCGGAGATCATTACAAACCCAACTATGGTAGATGCAGAAGGTAGACTGAGGATCTTCCCTTACCATGAGTTGGCTTCATTTCATGGTTGTAATCTATGCCCTCCCAACTTGTGCAAGGTATCCTGACATTAATTCTGTCATGTGGCGCAACTTAACACAATTAGTGATCCAAATTCTGAGTTTGTAATGTTGTGGTTCCCGTAAATTCATACCGGATGTATTTTTGCAGCATCTAGATCAATCATCAAAACCTTGCAACTGCCAAGCGGAATGCATTTGTTTCACTTTTTGCTTTTTTGAGTTTTACCTTCATAGCAGTTAACAACTTATAGCTGTCGTGATCACGATTTGCTATTTTGTTCTTGTCATTGGTACATTATGTTTTTCCTTCAATATTGTATATTCATTCATGTGTAATCAGTCTTAAAGTTTTGTGCTCGGCCATTAGCATGTGATCCTGTGAACAGAGAAATTTTATTCTTATAACGTGTATTGATATTGTAAAACAATTATGCTTCAAGTTCTGATAAAGATTTATGTCATGCATAATTTTTTTCTGCTTGGCTGTATCTCTATGAGTGATTACATTTGTAGCAGGCTTGATGCTGCAGACATTGTATGCACTTTGATTAGCTGTCTTGAAGGTTAAATTAATAGTGAAAGTGGCTTCTTAATAATACCTTATAGGTTTGAATTCAAGTTCATGACTACAAAGCTTTCAGGTGTTTTTGGGTTCTGTCTTTTGTTTCCCTACTCTGTAAACAAGGTCTTTTGAGATGCTTCAAAAGTGATTTAATGACACATCTTGATCGTTACTTGTGTTGCGTCTTTGATGTGACTCTTACCATTTTGACCCAGTAATGCATTGGCTACAAGTAGCAGTTATTTAAAATGTCAGCTTTACTTTTGTGTAGGGTCTTGTTATTGAGCAGATCCAAGCTTCCATGTCTGATAAAAGGAAATCAAGATTCATATATCTTGGAGACGGGAGAGGTGATTACTGCCCAACCTTGAAGCTTGATAGAGGAGACCATGTGATGCCAAGGAAGGGCTTTCCGTTGTGGGATCGCTTGCTAAGTAATCCAAGTCTTTTGAAAGCAGATTGTCATGAATGGAGCAATGGGGAAGAACTAGCAAGCATCCTACTTCAGCTTGTTGAAAAAGTCTGCGAGGAATAGAACATAGAAATTCTTGATAAACAGTCTATTGAAACTGTCAAGGTATATCTCTCTTCTGCACCAATTTCCTAATGAATTCTATTATTGAGGCCAGCCGGTCTGATTGTGCACTCAGGACTTACCGATCATGTTCATAGATTTCTCTCTACTGGTTAAATGTCATCATACTGTGCTTAATCATAGCAAATTGGTATCCATTTATTTCAGCTTTAGATCGGTTAGGCGACTTCTTTAAGTACACAATGTAACAAAACCTATAATAGGTGGTTTTGGTCTATAAGCATTGTGCTTAAAGGCTCAGGTTGGTGTTGGTGCTTCAGACTGGAAGATAAACCATTTAGCTACCTTTCATTTATTTCATCTGCTACTGACTGGCATAATGGTTTACCGAATTTTATTAAATTATCAACATCATATATATAGTTTTCGGTACCAAAGAAGATGCATTATTTGCTTTTCGTGGTCAGCGTTGAGCAGCTGCCAGCCACTGCCCATTCTAGCCGCTTTCCTATTCATGTGAACACTTGGCTGCCCGCCGTCAAAAATTAAAAACTCATACTATATGTTTGACCTACCTTTAGTCTCGACTCTCGAATTAAAAATATTCAAGTCTATTTTTCCAACCAAACGCTGTAACAGCTTTAGTTTGGGTAGAAAATGAAATGTTAAAGTGATAGAGAAGAAAAAGGAGTGAAAAGAATGCACAAAAGATAAAAACCATTGAATTTGACTTAAAACCGTGATCCATTTGTTTGTTTGTTGGTTATACTTATTTCCGGAAACAATATGGAATTTTTACCTCCTATAGCAAAGGTTGATACCTTATTTATTTTAAATAAATACCCTTTTAAAAAATTATATTCCATAGCTACCTTTTGATTTTTATAGTCAAATATCTATTTATCTACTACACTTAAGCCATAAAATACACTTTATATTATTTTTCTCTCTCATTCTTTCAGATTTTTCTCCACCCTCTCTCTCTCACAACGCCAGTTCTCACACCCAGAAGATTGAAACAGAATCCGCCATGGAAGAAATCGAATAAGCACCAAAAAGTTCTTCGCTATTTCCCGTTTTCCCCCAATCTCAAATAGTTGCACCGCCCAAACCTCCCATTCCTCCCTTCTTTGAGATATTCCATTTTGTCTTTTTCTTTCTTTCTTTCGTTTTATTCTTTTCCCCAACTTTTCTTTCTGTCAAGGCTTTGATAGCCGCGATTTTCTATGTCAAGAGTCAAGATCAAGATGAAGATTTAGTGGTTGAAGAGTCTGTTTAGAAATCAATGTCATATGTTTCGTATCAATGTCGAAATCTGACATAGGGTAAATTGGGGCTGACAATGGAGGTTCGAAATCTGTTGCCGACGAGATGACATTAGGGTTATTCTTGAACAAAGACGACGAAGTTTGGGGCTGAGCAACTTGGAGAGTCTGCTACCTTTTTTTTCGTGGTATTTCAATGTATCTCGTTGTATTCTATGTATTTCATTGTCTTCCTTTTTCATTGTATTTCAATGTATCTCGCTATATTCCATGTATTTCATTGTATTCACTGTCTCGCTATATTCCATGTATTTCATTGTATTCACTGTCTCGCTATATTCCATGTATTTCATTGTATTCACTGTCTCGCTATATTCCATGTATTTCATTGTATTCACTGTCTCGCTATATTCCATCAATATATTCATATGTTTTTTTTAATTAATATAATTTATATATTTTATATATTCAGGTTTATAATTGTGTTTATTGAGTTATATTAGGAGTCTATTGTGTTAATTGATTCACTTCCCGTTTAAAAACAGCTGAATAGATCATGAATTGCGCTATTTACGTTACTGTATTCACAAATACATATTGTGAATACAGTCGAATACAATAAGCTGTCTAGCTGTAATCCCCTGTTTCACGTCGTGAATACAGTCAAATACAATAATCTATCTAGCTGTAATCCCCTGTTTTACGCCGAGAAATGCTACTGTATTCATGAATACAGTAGCTTAAATACATCGAATGCACCCTAGAAAAACCTGAAAACATAACTATAGGAAGTAATATAGTAAATGGTAGCTACAACTAGCTAATAACCATTAAAACATAGTGGTTTCTGAAAGTTTCTCAAATAATATAGTCAAATTCCAGAAACACAAACTTAAATCAAAATTCATTAAAACCAAAAAAAACTAGAATGGGGAGAAATTCAAAAATAGCCAGATTTACAACTGGTCGATCAAAAATAGCCCAGTTTCAAAAGTAATCGAAATTTAGCCACTTTTCATGTTTGATAAATCTGAGCGAAAACACTGTTCAAAACCCAAAAAATACGCCAGTATATTATGCTGGAGT